GCGTATACCCATAAATTGAAAAATTTTGTTGTGGTCTCAATTTTTTCCAGAGCTCTCGTGTGTTTGTGTGTGTGTGTGTGTGTGTGTGTGTGTCTCTCTGTCTGTGTTTTTTTTTTTTTTAAAGTTTGACTCAGTCGTCTAACCTAGTGACAGAGATTTGGAAGATGGCGTCACTGATATGCAGCCGCATTCAGCACGATGCTGCATCCCACCTCCAGCGCCCACACTTTGAAATGACTTGTAATTGATTCGCCTTTTCGGAAGATCACACGTTGTCTGGGTGGGGGGGAGCTTGTGGGCCGGTAAAGCGCTTTGAAGGGAACTCGGAGCTGCGGTGCAGTCGGATCTCCGAAGCTCCCCATGTGGGATGTTAATCTGCAAGGTGGCGCTCCCCGTTCACGGCCTGTGAAGAAGTGCCTCTGTTCCGCGGGCTTTACCCCACCCTGTCCCGCAGTGGAGAGAAGACATTCCGGCATGGCTTATTGTTTTGTCGCAAGGCACCTATTCCCAGATATATGATTGCATGCACGATTTTTACTGAGAGTAATTCAGGGTTCTGAATTACATTGTCAAGATGGTGAAATTCTGGTAAAATCCAGTATTTCTGCTCCAGCTCTCAGGTAAATTATGACTTTGGTCAAGTGTTCCTGTGGCTCAAGTAGAACATTGTGCTACCCAGGCAACGGCTGCGGGTTTCGGTCCCAGTGAGTGCACATAAGTCATAACCACCTCTGTCGCTTTATCACATTGGATAAAAGCATCATAAGTAAATTAAATTAAGTGGTTTGTCACTAATTATGTGCTCTCGTAGCTTGCGTTTTCGTAGCTTGTTACTTCTGAAAATGTTGCAGTCTCGTTTGTTTTTATTACAGAAATATGTTTTTTTTTTTTCCCTTCCAAAAGCTACGACATGGAGACCTTATGCAGGTTACTGGTCATCAGTCCAACCATTAGAGACCTTTTTTGTGTTACTTCTGTGTTTCTTTTTATTAATCGTTCCTTTTATCTGCTGATAAATATGTGCCCCCTGCCCCAGGCTCCAGCTCCCACTCATTGGTGGAATGAGTAGAGCAAGAGATCTGTTACTGGAAGTGCCTAATAGAAGTCACTTGGTTAATTGAAGTCATTAATGTTCAATTTACAAGCTGCTGAAGTGAGTCTGTGGTGGAGGGGGGCATGTCATGTTTTTATTACTTTTTTCTGGAAAAATATTAAATTTAGATGGGTATTTAAAAAAATCTTAATTCCATATCCAATTGGTTTATTTTGTGTCCTTGCATAACACTGAATATTACTTTAAAACCCAAGATAGAACATTGTTCCAGTTTAATATATGTGTAAATTTGTCTCTTACCGGCCATGGTAGTAAAAATAAGCAAATATATTTGTGTTCTTCAGGACCTTGATGATGTCGAAGACGAGAATGAGCAGCTCAAGCAGGAGAACAAGACCCTCTTGAAGGTGGTCGGCCAGCTGACCAGGTAGAACCTCCATGGACCGAAGAGTCCTGATGGAACGAGACTTGAAGCTTCGCCAAGCAGTGGCCAGTCACTCCGGGCCGCATAGCTGAGGAGATCCCAGGTATATGAGGAACCCCCAGAGCCTTAAAAGCACCAGGAGTGAAATTCATTGTCTGTGGTCATTGTCTATTTTCTAATAGTTCTCTGCAATTTACACGCAAATGAACACCAGTGATGGGGGAATTACGGGATCACAAGTGTGAGATTGGCAAGTCTGCAGTAACTATTGGGAGACCATGTATTAAATGTAAATGTTTTTGTACATAGACTGCATTTTGATAGACACTCATTAAATAAGGTATGTATTTTTCCTCCCTACATTTGCTTCAGATTATTCACCCCTCATAGACAAAAAAACGGTGAGTTCTTCCGGTCGGCAACGTTTGAGCGACAATTCGCTATGGTTTCCGCCAGACTGTAATCCTTCTGTGTGCTTCATGCTGGCTAAATTGGTGGCCATACTGTTTTTCTGATTGGCTGACATGAAATGCGTTACATTAACTTTAGTGTTTTATGAGAAGACGTTATCCCTAAAGGTGCAAAAGCAGCCTGAATGACATTACTAAATGGTGCTGGCCTATATATGCCTGTTACACCCCTGGTGGTGGGGTGGGGGGGGGTATGATATTACTGGTGAGGGGGCTGAAGATTAAAACTTACAGTAATATGACATATAATTTTATGAAAATTGTTGGTGAAATGTGTGCTTTTCCTGTTGAACACTTACCTAGGTATGGATAATAAATAAAAAAAATATTTCTATTCAAACTTAATGTAACCTGATTGTAATTATTTTTTATCTTCGCTGTGAGCTATCAGACTTCTGATATTTGTTGATTTCCTGGGAGGAATTCGCCGACAAGTCAGACATACCAATCTGAATTTTTTTTTCTTTACATTTCTGTCTTAGTGGCGGATTAGCCGCGGTTATTGCGCTTCTGTGACAAATGTGTGTCTGTCCTTGTATGTGTCTCTCTGTTGAAAGATCTCTGTACACAGCCCTCCACAAGAGACCCACCTAATAAATGTTTAATTATACATTTCCAAAATGGACTTCTTGTTTTCACTGTCAATGTCTTGGCTCTTGGGAGGTTGGGGACTGGGGTTTAGTGTACGTGTGTGCTGTGCTGTGCTGGGCTATGCTACGGACTATGCTACGGGGTGTGCTGGGCTATGCTACGGGGGTGTGCCTAGCTATGCTACGGACTATGCTATGGGGTGTGCTGGGCTATGCTACGGGCTATGCTACGGGGTGTGCTGGGCTATGCTAGGCTATGCTACAGGGTGTGCTGGGCTATGCTACGGGCTATGCTACGGGGTGTGCTGGGCTATGCTAGACTATGCTACGGGGTATGCTACGGGAGTGTGCTGGGCTATGCTATGGGCTATGCTATGGGCTATGCTATGGGCTGTGCTACAGGGTGTGCTGGGCTATGCTACGGGGTGTGCTGGGCTATGCTACAGGCTATGCTATGAGCTGTGCTACGGGCTATGCTACGCGGTGTGCTGGGCTATGCTATGGGCTATGCTACGGGAGTGTACTGGGCTATGCTACGGGAGTGTGCTGGGCTATGCTACGGGCTATGCTACAGGCTGTGCTATGGGCTATGCTACGGGAGTGTGCTGGGCTATGCTATGGGCTATGCTATGGGCTATGCTATGGGCTGTGCTATGGGCTGTGCTACGGGCTATGCTACGGGGTGTGCTGGGCTATGCTACGGGCTATGCTATGGGCTGTGCTACGGGAGTGTGCTGGGCTATGCTACAGGCTATGCTATGAGCTGTGCTACGGGCTGTGCTACGGGGTGTGCTGGGCTATGCTACGGGAGTGTGCTGGGCTATGCTACGGGCTATGCTATGGGCTGTGCTACGGGCTATGCTATGCTACGGGAGTGTGCTGGGCTATGCTACGGGGTGTGCTGGGCTATGCTATGGGCTATTCTACGGGCTATGCTATGGGCTGTGCTACGGTGTGCTGGGCTATGCTACGGGCTGTGCTACAGGCTGTGCTATGGGCTGTGCTACGGGGTGTGCTGGGCTGTGCTACGGGGTGTGCTGGGCTATGCTACGGGGTGTGCTGGGCTATGCTATGGGCTGTGCTACAGGCTGTGCTGTTTGAAGCCTTGACATTCTTGAGGGTTTGGACATTTGGATATCTGCCAGCCTAATTTAACAATGAGAGCCACATGATACAATGACGTATCAATAGTGTGTTCAGCAGTGGTCTTTTCTCAAATTTCTTTTGTATTGTACCTCTTTTGTATTATATTATATTGTACCTCACCCCCAATTTTATTAACTTCTTGCCCTCATCCATTTGCTGAAAAGATTAACTTGTGATCTGTGAACATGTGGCTGAGGGGTGTCTTAGGGTCAGGAGTGAACATTTTGGAGCCCTTGAACTCTCCATGCCAAATAACATAAAGTTTGCACTCATTGTGAAAAGGGCCTCTTTTTACCTGGTGAAAGCCCATATCCAGGTGATCATGTCCCGGTGTTTTGCACTCTGGATATAGAAACAACTTACTAAAAACCCACAGTGATGTCCCTGAAAGAGACAATCAATATTTAACGGTCAGAACTGGACTTGTTCTGATGATACTGGCTTTCCTTCGATTCCAAAGCAGATCTTATCTTGGCCTTGAACAACGTTATCAGCAGTGTTGTGCATTTGGTGTGCAGCTTTTGAATCTGACTGTAAGCAGTTCTCGAATGATGATGTGAGTCAGCCAAAAATGCAAATTGGCTAAGTTAGCTAACACCTAATCTAAAGTTAGCTACATTGATACTGTTAATGGAATACAGTGATCAGTAACTACTCTGTTCTGTTTTGCACTCCAAAGCTTTTCCCTCAGATTAAGTACCACCATGAATACATTCCACATAGATCCCACATCATTCCCATTAAGGGAATCGTGAAGGTTACTAAAGTTTTGCCTCCCAGTGGAAATTCGGAGTACAGCATCAGTCTTGCCAGTATTGCTCCAGAGCTACGCTTGACAAATGAAGTCGCCTTTCCCATCCATTTACATCTTTGCCATTGTTGTTCTTTCCTTGTCATGCTGCTGTGATCTTGTGGTCCTCTATAGACTGAGTTTCCTTTCATGAATAATGTATATTCAATTTAAGGTTTCGGGATAGTTCAAGCTTTTAAACACCACCTGAGTCGCACTTAGCTCTTTTAGAAACTCTGGGTTTACGTACATACGAAATATGATGTTTTGGGGGGGGGGTATTATTGCCCTCCGCTTTCTGTTGTTCTGAAATCCTTTCCTCCCTTTAGGGTCTGGACTCCACATTACGGTTACCGGTCGTATCGCGTTGCCGTCACCGCTGACAGCAGGGGTCATTCATAAGTGGAGCTCTGATCCTGGCTTGATGGCCCGCTCAGATAGGGAGACGGGAGCACTTCCATTTCTTGCGTTCTCTGACGACACCAGCGCCCCCCCCCCCCCTTTTTTTTTTTTTTTTTTAGTTATAGTGCGTATTCCCTTGCCTCTGCCCGAACTGTCATGTCTGCGGAAATGTCTCGAGTATCAGGCAATAAACTCGCCTGGTGCGTGGACTGGCTGTCATCTTCATGTTATCCAGCACCTAGTTTGTCTTTTTGAGAAACTGGGTCCTCCTTGGGGAGGTTTAAGGCTCCACTTGACCTCCTGAAGACGTGACTGATCCTGTTGTACAGGAAGCAATAGGTGTAGGTGAGAGGTGACATGTAGGTTTGGCAATACTGTATTTCTGCATTCTGTATCAGCATTGACCATGGACATCCTGATTAGATTTGGAGAATAAAACTTAATTAAAACCCAAATAACGTTTTAAAAAAAGAGACAAGTCTTCCTTCCCTTATCGATGCAACAAATGCTGCGTCTGTTAACATGCTGGATGTACATAGGTTTACCGTTTTATTAAGTAATGTTCGCCCTCTTTTGTCAAGCAGCTCGACATGAAGCTGTCAGCTCTCAAGAAGCGGTAAAAAATGATAGAGTGACATTTTACCCAGTCTTTACTTGTGTGTTGTGCATTGCCCTGGTGTGCAACACCTCCCTTTTTCACCCACTGCCTTTTCTAACAAAGAAAAAACTTTGACATTTAGAGTTTTCAAAGGGATAGAAAAAGCCTCACAATCAGTCAAAAGACTTCCTTTGCAAAGCCTTTTTTCCCTTTTTCTCTTCATCTGTTAGTAACCTTTTCTGACTTAACACTACGTGTGAAGTATCTAAATCGTGTGTGGAATCTCTAAGCAGATCGTCGATCTCCTTGTTGTTGAACGAGAAGAGGGCGGATTCTGGGAAATGTAAAGCTGACATACACTCACCGTGAACTCTGCATACGTCCCGGTTTCCTGTAATGTCTCGCCACTATAAAGTACAATTTAATCGCACAGCCGCCGAAGTCTATTCTGGTTTGCAATGAACAAATTATTTCTGGACGTAAACAGTGTGTTGAGTGAACGGGGAGTGCAGTTATGTAGAAAAGGCACCAGGCCTACTTCAGAGATGTCAGTTAAATTTATTATATATACTTCGCATTTTCGTGTGTCCAGGGATTTAACGTGTTGGAAACCTGCTGATTCTGAATGAACTGTCTTAAGATTTAATGTATGCATAATATTTTGAAATAATGCACCAGGAAAGGTTCTGTATCAACAGGAAATAAAACATTTTTATTGAACATTGCGTATATGAAGTTTATATTAACAACGATCAGAAAACTTTCACAGAGTGAATCACTACACGAACCGAAATTGGTAAAACACCTCATCAAAAATGAAGGGTATACACAGCAATATAACTGTCGGCTCGCAGATATTGCGAGCAATATGGCAGGAAAAACACCCCGATTATCTCAACACGGTTACAGAGGAAAATTTCCACACACAAAAAGTACTCAAGCAGGCTGTGAATATACAGAAAGGCAACTAGGAACTTTCTACAGCATCAGATTCTAATACTTTATACAGCTTCTTCTGAAAGCTAAGTGTGGCTTTTGTCGTCGTCGTGGGATGATTCTTGGTCACACAGCAGTTGTTTTTTCTCGGGAAAGACATCGCAGGGTGTCGCGCATGCTTTGGTGGGTGTCCGTAATAAGCAGCATCGCTTCGCAGTGCAAGTAATGGCTTTTCATTCGTGCCTCTATGCAATCATGTCATGTGACTGCAATGCTGACTTATACTGTATGACCTGATTTAAAAAAAAAAAAAAACATGAATTTTCTTTTAAAAACATTATAAAATCAAAATTTGCCTTATGGACGTTTTTCCATCGAAGGGTGAATGATTTGAACAAGCATTCCCGTCATTTCGAAATACAGGAGTACACACGTATAATAAGACATTCCTTATCACAAGTGAATACGCTGTGTACAGGCATATTGCATTCGGGGAAGTAAATATTAACAATATTTCATTACTGGGTATTTAAAAAAAAGTTACACAATATCTCAATTGATAACTATATATGAAATCATAAATCATTTAGATTCCAAAACAGAGTGCACAATGAAGGTCTTGCAATACGGCCCTAAAGTAATAACATTGTAACAGTAACATTACAGAAGACTGATACACTAAGAGACAATTAACCTTAATTGTCATTTGCCGTATAATTTTTTTGTCCCGAGTACTTTTTATATTATTTATGATATTATTACAATAATTATAATCTGATTCTGTAAATACAAAAATATGTACACTCCTTTATGCCATGATTTGGTATTTACCAATAGTACACCTAAGATCTTTACAATGGACATGTGAAGAAAGGAGAGGAGAAATTAACTAAACAGATGGCAGATGGTGAACGTGCTCTATCATACTCACAATCTACATGTGCTGTGGCCTAACCATTGCTTCTGAAGGAATGTTTCAGAGAGAGCTGGAATAATCTTCCCTGGGCGATACCACCCACAAAAAATAAGGAAACTATCTCAACGGGATGGACGGACGGACAGACGGTATTGCACAGTGCTCAACAGAAAGCTGTGTGATCAGACCCACTCCTCCTTCCAAACGCTCGCGTGTAAGCCGTGGTCTCTCCGCACGGAGCCCCTCGTTTCCTGATTGGTCCGCAGGCGTCCAGACCGACGATGTTACGCGTGAACGCACGCGCGCGGGGCAGCGTGACACAAAGGAATGTCTGGTCATTGTACGACGTCACTAGGGGACAGACCGGCTGCTATCTACATAAAAACTACATCTTTAAGCAACACACTACGGTCACAGTGATACACAAAGCAGTCCCATAGAGTCTAATGAAATGACGAATAGCTTCGTTATAGTGCCGTTAACAACATATCAACATTGAAAACACTGAGAAATTCCTCCTAAAGCTAAGCGCCTAGTACACAAAGAGGCTCCTTAATGAGAATAGCTTTAATCGACTCATGTATTTCTTGAACCCGTAATAAAGGAAAAGTGGACTCGTGTTTCATTTTCACAGACCATTAACTTCTTTTTTTCCCCTTTAAATGTGGCAGTAGAACCCAGTTAGGTGTATTTCCCCTTGGTACAGCGGGATTCATGCAGATTCCTATTTCATCCAGAAAAGATGGCCTCTGAGACGCTCCCCCCACCCCGGATCGCAGCTCGGCCGTCGGAAACCTGCGGCCGATGCAGCAGGAGACAGCAGCCATAAGAAGGAGAAAGTAAATTGGCAGTAAACCACGGCTGGCTGTTGTGATTGCTGCTATTGAGGGCACTGAAGGAATAAGACACACATCTACCAACAGACGTTACAACACACACTACCTTGTAGTATCCTTGAGGAAAAGGTTTTTCTTTACATTATTACCTCCCTGAAAAAAATGGCAGTGTTTTAACTTGCGTCAGCCTGCTTCGCCGGAATAACTACATACCCTAACATCAACTGGACTACAATATTTGCAGCGTCCATTTAATAAATTTACATTTTCCCAACGATTTTTGCCAAAGGCAAAAATTAATCGCCGTCGTGATCCTAAGTGAACTCAAAATTCCCACGTCGCAGTTTTAGCAAATATTATTAAAAATAATAATTTAAAAACAAAAGTTTTGACAAGTATTGTCTCGTCTATAAAATGTTGATCTTAAAGCTTAAGTCAAAAACCGTTTGCCAAAGTTGAGCCCAGAAAACCTACATTGAATATCCAAGATTGAGCTCCTCAGAAGGGCGCAATCACAAAATGTTGCAGTTTGTGCTATAAGGACTTACTGTGTTTTGTTGGTATTATTTAAGGAAAAATGGTTTTTAACCGTGGAACTAATTTACAACGCGGAGTCCGAAATCACTCCAAATCACATGAATCGCTGAACTTATTTGACAAATTAGTATTTAAAGAACACTTAGGAATCCCTGTGCTTGTGTATGTTTCCAGCAGCAAATTCACCATGGAACCATATTAGTTAATGGCCTTTTTCATTTCATAATTTAGTAATCATTTTAAATTACTAAAAAAAAGTAACTGTCCTTGACAATGTGAGTATACTTCCAGTATCTGAACGTTTGAATTTTTTTTTTTGTGAATGCAGGAATCCTGTAATAAACAACATTGGCCTTCCTATATCTCCATTTACATAATTTAAAATAGTATATTTTCATAAAAACATCAAGATATACACAGATTAGGAAACGCTAAACAACATACAAACACATAAACTATAAATCATTTTTTCTGCATACTTATATATACAACTGTGTTACAATAAATTTCAGTCATGCGCTATCTATACAGGTCATATTGCTTAAAAGAAGGGGGGGCATTTGGATTTGATTTTAAGGGTCTGTGGGTTGGCAGGGGAAAATAAAATAAAAGGGAATAAAAGGGCCTTACACTTAACACAATTCTGAGGGGGGTGTGGTGGAATGTACCACTGTTTGTGTAAAAGCGGTATGTGCAGGGGGGGGGCGTATGATCCTTACATTACTGAGGTATTTACACATACTGGCTAAGGGGCACTAGGTGGGCAGGTATTGAAAAACCTCCCCCTATTTCTTGCTGCTGAGCTGGGCGTCCACCTCCTCCTCGGGCTTGAGCACGTGCCACTGGGCGATGGGTCTCCGCGGGTTGGCCAGCATGTCCGACCAATGCCGCAGCTCAGTGCCCGAGCTGTTCAGGCCCACGAACACCTTCCCAATGGCGTCGTTCTTGCCGATCTTGTCATAGTCCAGAACGGTGACGACAACTTGGATTTTCTGTGGAGAGACGGACGGGCCAGAGGTCGACTCACCAGGCTCAAAAGTGACCATACGCATTTCCTGTTTGTTTTTTAAAAATATCATTATAATCAACCCTAACTTTAATTAGTAAAGGTTGATTAGAATTAAGGTTCTTCTTTGGTTCCAGCTGGAGGTGTGTTGGTGTGTGAGACGTCAAAGAATTATGACTCATCACCAAGCAAAAAAATGGGCTCATCATACAGTTATAAAACAACATTTTTAAGAGTGTTGTTTTGTTTTAATATTGGATGCTTATGGGCGAACACTACTGTTTATGAACTCAGTTTGGTCTACCTGACGTCTTTTTGCTGTTGCTGTAACCTAAGTAAACCTGTACAGAGTTCGATTCTGCACAGTTGCCTATGAACACTACGTTAGCATTTGCTGCTTTTGAATGGCCAAGCTGCAAGAGAATGTGGTCCAGCTGACCTGCAACCCCCCCACCCAGAAAAAAAAGACTATAAGTAGTTCTCGACCTGGTATAAATTTTGTGAAAGTCATGAACACAGTCTGACATTTGCTTCCTTCACCTGCAAAAAAGGCCGGTATATGTGGAGTACAGTGATGGAGCCCATGATGATGCCCATCACACTGCAATTCCAGTCATTTAGCCGAAGGAATGACTTCAGTCACCTTTTTTCACCTCAAATATCCATTTCTGTCTTCTTTTTCAGAGTGAAATATCCCATTTCTCTAATTTGATGTGACCAGCTCAGTGACTGTGTCAGGCTCAGAAGCGAAGTGAGCTTAAAGCGTCGGGTGGCTTAAGGAAGCGTCTCGAGGGGCTTCCGCGTCCGTAAGCTGCCTGCGACAGTGAGGTCCCGTTCTCAGCAGGTGTTGCATCATCTGCCATTTACCAAGCAGGTTTATAAGGTAACAAAAAACAGACCAGATGCATGACTTTCTGAGACACACTGATGGCTCTAAGTCTCTTGTGAGACTGACTGTGTGCTATCCTTCATAGTGCCAGTTTAAATGCATGAGCAGATAAATCCCTTTCTGAGTTGCCAAGCAGGATTATCCTTAGCATTAGCCTTAGCATTATATTAACCATATATTAATACACCCCTCTTCAGTCCTCCCTCCTTTTACTGAGTGCCAGCTAAATGCTTGTGTTCCCCATGGCAGCATTGTTTAGTCTCCACAACTTATTGAAAACTGCCTTGACTCTGATTGGAGTAAAACAGGTCAGTGTGAATCATGCACATGATGTAGCTGGGGGCATCAGTTAGATGACATAAAAGAAGCAAGACAGATGAAACTCAACCCCAAACTGGAAGTAAGCTAAGATTAAGATCAAATTTAAATAAATCACAGTTAATTTTGTAAGATATTAACTTTGAGTGAGACATGAGTTCCTGCGATAGAAGTTTCTCTAAAACTTGCTGAAGGGGCTTTGAAAGACAAGCACTTCTTGGTAGGTAGGCGCACATGTACAGAAGATGGCAATCAGCATTTGATTACTCGAGCCTGTACACCTGTCACCAATCAGACTGGGAGCAGGCTCTGCAGTCTTAAATGACTTGCGTCGGGGATTGTGATTTCAATGCTAATGCAGTTCTCGATGTGGGGCATTGATATGGGGAAAACGCTATGAAATCGGTGAGCATTCCAGTATTTCCAGTATGTTCCAGTATGAAGTATCTTAACATGCAGCTTATCAATTAATGACCTGTGAGAACATTCCTAATCACAGTTCACTATTTACTGCATTGTCGGTGCATTTACACTGTTTGTTAGTTGTTGGTAGAGTCTGGTTCTTGACCTGTTCTTTATTTCCCTGTCTCCCCTCCCCCCGAGTCTCAAAGGTTCATTCACCGTCGAAGTGCAGCAATGAGATTAACAGACAAGCCAGCATCTCCCAAAATCCACATGCAGCTTGTAAATATACAATAGAAACCGAAACAACAGTTGGAATGCGACTTAAACGGAAGACGTGCGTCTACCTGGATCTGCTCGAAGGGCACTTCAAAGCTGAAGGACTCGTTGTAATAGGGGTTGAGTGTGTTCTTCTTGATTGTTGTCTTCTTTTTCTTAATCCTTTTCCCATTCAGCATCAGGTGGATTTTAACGTAGGGATCTATGGAATTAGAAAGGCAAACAGGCCCTTCAATAATCAAGCAGTCACACAATGAACAGAGAACACCGAAGATGCTTCAGAGAGCTGGGCAATATTTGGTGAAATCCTCTAACGGCTTCTAGAACTCATCGCCACATTGTAAAAGGTAGACAAAAACCCCAAAATCATTTTGTAATGTCCCTAATTATTAGCTATATAGAAATGTACATTTGTAAAAGCAGATTTTAATGAATGTTGCTGTTTTACAAATGAAAGAACATTCAACATAGCTATATGAAAAAAAAAAAAATAATAAACTGATCTACATCTACACCTTTTCTGGGGACAGACAGTAAAGATGGACAGTGTCAGGACAAAGAAAATCTCTCTCAGGATTCTTTTGAGATGATTATTTACGCTTTCCAAATATCAATGAGCGGCAGGGACAGGGCAGACAGGGGAGTCAGTTCAACAATTAATGAACAATTTGGAGCGCTGAGAGGGACTGGAACACCATTAAAGAAACATTAGGAAAATAAAACTCTTCCTTAATGGAGGGAGCGGCAGCGATTCGTCTTCATCAGGCGAGGCGAGTCCATCTGATCAAGTCAAGCGCCGCCGTGAAACGGTGAAAAAAAATGACTCGATTACAGCGCTGAGCCGAAAGAGTGACTGTTGCCAGCATTATGACACATAAGTTACAGCATCATTTAAAAATACTATAAGCTCATTTCTTTGCAGCGAAACACAACTTATTGAGTATTTAAATGACACAAAAGGTTCATTGGAATTCTCCCAATTTTCACGTATCTCATTACGCTCTCCATTGAGACTTACACATACGTTCCAATTTATCTGGCACTCCTGTAGCGTTTCAGGAGGCTAAGGACCTCGCTAAGCGGCCTAGCAGACACGGGACGATTTGGCCGAGGATGGGATCCAAAGTGGAGGCTCACAGGTACAGAAGCCTAGTCCACCGAGCCATGAACTACCCCCTGTTTGATGTGAGTTTTCCTGAGAATTATCTTAAGCATCTCTTGCTACCAAGGCAACCTTTTAGACTTTACACAGGATTATCTTAACACTCATTCCCTGACCCAGTGCAGGTCATGGGCAGCCCTGGAGGCAGCTTATAGCACAAGGAAGAAAGACTCTCTGGCCGGGATGCCAGTCCATCACAGGGCACAGTCATACACACTATGCTCAATTCAGAGCCACTAGTTACCCTTAAATGTGTGTCTTTGGGCTACAGAAGGAAGCTGGAATACCCAGAGGACACCCACACAACACAAGAAGAACGTGAAAGCTTCAGACAAACATGGCGGGATTCAAACCCCCAACCCTGGAAGCGCGAGCCAGCTTGCAGCCCTATATCCTCTGCAATTCCAAAAACTGAGGCTGAGGTTCACACCGCTGAGTCATGTTCAAACTTTTTATTGGTCATGTGCAAGAGGTGCATTGGACTCCTTGCTCATTCAGCCACACCCAGTCATAAACAGACTAAAGACAATAGACAATATGCTATTACTGTACAGGTGCCCCGGATGTGACTGTCACATGTTATCTTTGGTTGGGTGGGTTGAGGTTGACATGAGTACAAGACAAGGTTTCCTTCAAGGGTGGAGATTTGAGTATGGTTGTCAGGAACATGTCCCTACCAATATTGTGGGAGCACCTTGCATGTTTGGGGGGGGAGGGGTGTCCGGGGCTGATCTGGTTCCTACCAATGTTGAAACCAAACCTACACCCCTTGGTTTCCATCATTCAGGCTTTCGATGGAGGCTGGTGCAGTGGCTTACAGATATCAGTGGTGGAATCGGGACTGAGCGTCTATGGTGGACGTGTGGGTGGATATCTATGGTGCCAGTCTTTATTAATAAAGCTCGGGATGGAAGGCTTTCTGCCGATAACAAGCCAGTTAATATGGTGCCCAGGAGTAGGCTGCAGACTATCTAAATTAGAATCCTCTCCAGCATCCCACAGTCCACAGGCATAAAAAACCCTTTTTTCATATCATTCAATTGCATCCAAGCTGCCTTGCTAATATGAATTCCCCATCGCTCCTTTTATTCCTCCGCCGCAGAAAGAAATAATAAATAAAGACTGTCAGCTTTTAGAGATTTATCTGGCTCCCACGCGGCGGTGGGCGTCGCGCGTGAAATGGCACGACTGTGTCCCTTTGTACGCGCCGCGCCAGAGTGGCACCCAGCGTGGTCAGGAACGGGGACCAGTAACCCCAGTTTGTGAGGGAAGCAGACCTGGTGCAGCTGGAAACTTGATGGGGAATGTTTAGAAGTTGTGTGTGTGTGTGTGTGTGTGTGAGCGGGTTTACCTATCCTTATGGGGACATAATGTCCCCATAATGTGATAAATATCCGTTTTTTTTCCCTTATGGGGAAAAAAAAAATCAGTGACTGCTATGAAAAAACTAAAAATGCAAAAACTCTTGTATTTTGTTAGGTTACTTATGGTTAGGGTTAGGGCAGGGTAGGGGTTAAGGTTGTCATAGTTAGCGTTAGCATTTTTCCCATTGAAATGAATGAGTGGTCCCCATAAGGATATGTTTACCCTACATGTGTGTGTGTGTGTGTGTGTGTGTGTGTGTGTGTGTCGGGGGGGACGCATCCTTCACACAAATTGAGACAAAGTAACGTCCTGCTAAGTCCTTCCTCTTCTCCCCCCTTTGTTTCTGTACTTTTACCAGCAGCAAAGATGTAGGTGTGAATATAATGACTATAGCTTTTTAAATACAGGTTTTCTAATTGTGTTTTTCTAATTTAATTTAAACCACATCTGAAATCGTTTTAAGCACATTTACTTTCAGACTGGCTCCACTGAACTCTTCTTCTTGACGACCTTCAGGGGCTTCGAGGCTGAATAAGCAGATGGGGAGAGGGGGGGCAGGTCATCACTGCCAGCAAGACATATGGGGGCCAGAGTGTGTCGGGCTGGTAGAGGTGCTTTTGTGGGGGTGGGTTGGGCTGGAGTGACCCGGAACGGGGCTCTCAGGTGCGAGATGGGCATGGTACCCCCCCGGGAACTGCCCGGCCGTGTTAATGAGGGGTGATCTCTCTCATAGTGCTGTAAGCATTTGTGTATCAGGGGAGGGGCCCCAACACAGTCTCTACTGTCACGTTCTTTCCTTTTTGTCTTTCTTATTTGAGAGCACAACACCACAATGAAATTATAGATAGCATAAAATTAACACTGCAGTAATGCATACATCTGCAGCAGTGAATGCCACATTCTTCATCTTGCGTTAAAATGCAACGCCCAGACAACTGCGACTAATGACTGGAATTACACTTGCCAGTACCATCCTCTGGGGTCAAAGGTGAACAGGTCATGTGACCCAGAGCAGCTTTCCCACCCGGCAATCCACTAATGGGTGGCCTAACAGATAACTCCAGGGGAGCATCAGCTGTTTTTACAGGCCTGCGTGTTTTAGCTTCCCCGTGTTTGCCCGACTGGTTTGGGTGCTGGTCAGTGTGATGGTCCTTCCCATCCTCTACCCATGGGTGAAGGTGCACCCTGCGGTGACGAAAAAAACAGAGGAATGTGAAGTATTTCCACCTTCCCACCTCGACCGAAGCGAGCAGCCTTTTTCCCCAGGAAAACGCATGCAGAGCAGCATTCCAGAGCCCCGCGCCGGGCCCATATAAGGAGAGCCGCACGGCCTGATGGGAGCCCGTCCGTTGGGAGCGGCGGGGCTTGCAGCCAGACGGGCCCAGAGCAAGAGGCCCACGGCACAGGCAGCTGGACCCCAGCCATGGCGCTCTTAGTTCTGCATAACTGGGCCGGATGGCCTGTCCAGTGGGTGATTAAGAGAAGCCTTTTCGACTGAAATTCCCAGCTCATGCCCCCTCTGGGAGAGCCGAAACCGCACAAGTACATTAATACCCACGATGTCAGAACTTCATCCCGACTGTGACCTGCCGCTAATGTCCGCCGTATGGAGTTATCCCAGGTGCTGGAGTGCTTGGATGAAACACCGGCGCCGTTAGCGTTGCTGGAGCGGCCTCGTTCGTGCAGAGCTCCTCCAGGGCGTCCGCGAAGTCGCACTCGAGATCTGGAAGCCGATCGCTCAGGCTATGATTAGCTATTACATAACACCACGCCACATGTGCAGCTCGGGCCTCACGGATAGTCGGGGGAATTTGCTCCAAGTCGTGAGAAGGAGGCTTTCTGTGGCAGATTCACAGTGCCTCCTGCTGGCTGCACACATAATCAACGGACACAATCTCAGGAGGCCAAAGAGATACTAATATATATGTGTATTTATGCAGTTTCCGTGAGAAATTAGCTAGGCAGCTAGAGCTGATAAAGTCATGAACACAAAGCAAACATTTAGGAGAAACATAAACTGCTCCCCCGCACCGCCCTCCCGGTAAACAAGTTGCTGTGAGATGAAATTGTTACTAATAGCAGCTAGCAGTTAGAAGACGCCGGAATGTGGCAAGGCGCTGTATCTGCCAGCCTTTGACCAAACAGCCTCAAGTAGACTTTGATCAAACTTATGACATATGGCACGTGATTCTATACATCCAGAGGTTACTGTGTCCACGCAAACCAAGGACATGGCAGTGCCCACATTGAAACCACATTTAAGATACACTGTTAATACCAGAGCTGATTCTAATTCAGATCAAATTTACAGCCCTTGCACAAAGTCTCTCGTTGTCCAACTCAAACTGGATTGGGTGCCTCTGAGAAGTTACCTGTAGACAATATTAGACCGAAAACTGTCATCAACATGCCATCTTTTTTTATTTGTTTTTTTGCCGCTTCTCATGGACCAAAAATAACTACCCCAGCTCACTTCCAGAACTTTCTCTATGTATGTTACATGTGAGCACGAATCAAATACAAAAGCTCATGGTTTTTTCCTCACATGGTAGGTCAGCAGAGCTGGAATACAGGCCCATTCTGACACATCATGGTATTTCCATTAATTAGCATCTCCCAGCATGCTTTGCAGTAGATCAGTACTGTACATGTGTACATCCCCGCTGGGTTTGCTT